TAAATCAGTAGTATGAGATGTATTCAGCCAATTTCGTTTAAGGTGATGAAGGACTGGTAGAAGAAGAATTATCCCACAATGACATGAGTCGAGCTGACGTTTCCATTCAATTTCACATGGCCTTGCTTTCCCAAAAGTTGAGTTGCCTTAAACGAAATTTGGTGAATACATTTCATACTACTGATTTACTGGTAGTACTTAATTCGAAAAACAAAATAAGATAGTTGCATTTTCCAACAATTATGTGAGTAGGGCCTTACTTTACCAAAAGCTGTTCTCATCCCGGCCGCGATGGACTGCAATTTCGACGTCGCCTCGTCTGGGTCTTGTCAACACCCCCAGCGGGACTCGAACCATGGCAGTACAGCGTGCAATCTCGACACTTTGAGCATTGTCAACAATTAAACGACCCTAAACGAAACAATATGACTACATTTTATGTAAATGCTCTACTGGTAGTCTCGAGAGACCACTAATAAATGCAAAATATTAAATAATCTGCCTAAAATACAGTATTTGCTCTGAAAGGTAGTCAATAAAGCGATTCAATTCCATTCGCAAAGAGTGCATTTTCAGATAACCAAACGGACGCATCGCGGATGCCGGACTCGCCAACTCGGACAGACTATGACGTAACAGACGGTAGAAGTCGGCATCCGAGAATGCCTTAAAAGAAGGCCTGGTCTGTTCATCTGCCCGATCTTCCAATTGGTCTGTAATTCGCCACTCCCTTTACCCCAAATACGTGTCTTAGGACTGTGAACAAGTATCTTTGAAGCTATAAAGACCAAAATAGTGTCATATTTGTCACGGATGCATTTAAGTCGACTGGTCTGGTTGTCATGGTGATTAAATTGAACACATCCTGCCATAATCAAAATAGTCATTAATAAAATAACTAATTGTCTGGCAAACTACTTACACGAAATATAAGTAGCATAATCAATAAACCTAATTATTGAAAAATCGTTTTGTCTATCCTGAAAATTCACGACTTGGCTGAGTTTTGATTCAGAAGAATAAGACTTCAAAGTTTTTCTGTAGCCTATTTCGAATGCAAGTAGCTTCCATGAAAGCTATTATATTACGTCGGAAATTAGACAAATCTAGAAGTGCTCTGACCGTGTCTATTCATTTGTAGTTATTTTTAAATTAACAAGAAGTTTTAAAACTAACTCATTTGTCTGGCGATCCTACCAGTCTAGTTTAATCGAAAAAATATAAAAACCAATATGTTGTGACCTTTGGTATGGTAACAGTACCCTTTCGATGCATAGAATTGGCCGATCATACCAAAGGTCGCATCATTTTGAGTTTCATACTTTCGATTAAACTACGCCTGTATGAGTGCCAAACAATGCATCGAATACAGTCCGACAAAAAAGACAGTTGTTGGTGTAAGTGCACCAAGTTTACCGTCCGAGTCTTGGCTTTATGATGAACACTTTAGAAATTCGGGCAATGTTAATTCAAGTTGAGAAAGTGAGCTAACAGCATAACATGATCAGCGGAGTTTCTTGCATTCGCCCACAATCATCGGCGTTCGAAGTTCCGTCGTCTTATTCTTCAGAATCAAAACCGGTTTGTGGTGGTGTTGCCAACACAGCAGAGGCGTGAATTATCAAGACAGATAAAAGGCTTTTTAATAATCAGATTTATCTACCATGCTACTTATATTTCGTGTAAGTAGCTTGTGAAACTATTGGCTATTTGTTCATTATCCGATGCTTCCAATTAAACCAGACCAGCCGACTTGAATGTACCGACAGATTGCTACAGTCGTGGTTTTTCTAGCTTCGTAGGCTACTTATATTTCTTAAGTAGTAGGTTTCGCGACTGTTGTATGATGAATAAATATATAAAATATATTCAATTATATAAATAAATGAATTTGTAACAATAATGTGTAAATAATGACTATTCTTAACGTTTAGGTAAATTGGGCCCAAACTTTTTATCATCATAGCCCCCATAGCCGCCACAAGGTGACCTGCACATTTCGGCCTTCTGTAGACGTCCTCCCCCTTCCCTCCCCCCCTTCCACATGCTTGATGATGTGTAGAAAAGTAGAAATTACTCTTTTGTGAAATATGTCCATTCGTTGAGTTGAGCTGACACGTTTGCGTCACTCGAGCCTGTCGGTCAGTCGTGGCGATGTGCGAGAGATTTGGGTACCAAACCGATCCCATGCGGCCACGAGTTGGAGAGAGTGAAGGTGCAGTATGTACACTCTTTGCGT